TAATACATATATTTCTAATGAGTAAAAGTTTAAATTAATTCTACAAATTAAATTGCTTTGAATTTATTTAAGAGAAATTTTGACTGTACTTAAATCTCCATTTAAACTTTTAAAAAGTTACATAATAAGTCATAGCTCCAAGCGAAATACTCATTTCAAACAGGCCTTTTCAGTTACATGATTTAGAAAAAAATGTGAACAGGTTTAATAATGGGCCTGATAACCAGTGAGAGATCTTTTTCATGTAACAGAACTCCTGAAAGCTTCAAGGGTGTTCCTTAGTTACTCTATTTCAAAGAGAAAGCTTTCTTGTGACTTCTGTTACTTTCCACTTGGTGACATTTATTTCTAGGTGTCACTTGGTAAAAGAACACAAAGAAAGCAATTATGAAGGTAGAAGGGGTTTGGATTGAGTTTTAGTAGTTGGCTTACTTTACTAGCTTCTATTTATGTATTGAATTTATAGTGGCTTGTAGATTATGAATCTAATACTGTCCTTTGATGGAGTGATAAGGGTGAGATCGCTGCATGATCTTTTTTCTTTGACAATGTGTTAACTAAGTACCATTCTGTTAGAGTAGAAATGGCTTTGTACGATTTCTCTCTTTAACACAGAATCCTACTGTAAGGCTAAAATTATATATATATATATATATATATATATGTGGGGGGGTGTTGGGATGCATTTGGAAGGCCAGAGGACAACTTAAGCGAGTTAATTTTTTTCAAGTCTTTGTAAGCAGATAAGCAGATGCTATTTTACACACACACACACACACACACACACACACACACACACACACACACACACTTTTATATTGGTAAATTTGTATGTTTTTTTGAGTTTTGATACTGTTGTATAAAGGTGTTGGTTTTTAAATTAATTTAAATTTAGTATTAATTGAAATATTTTGCAGATTACTTAGAATTTTCTACATTGCATATCTATAAAGAAAAACAGCATTTCTTTTTCCAATCTGGATACCTTTAAAAGTTTTGTTTCTATACTTATTATTTTATGTGTGCATGTGTTTGTTGGTTGCACATGCCATGGTACTCATGCGGAGTGCATTCTCTCATCCCTTTATGTGGGTGCTAGTCACCAGGATTGCTCCACTGAGCTGTCTTGTTGGCCCCTGAATACATTTCAGTAATTAAATGATGCTTTTCTTGCTTTGTTGAACTGTCAAGTATTTTCCATTGGGTGTGGTGGCACACACCTTTAATCCTAGCACTTAGGAGACAGAGGAAAGCAGATCTCTGTGAGTTCGAGGCCAGTCTGATGTACAAAGCAAGTTCCAGGATAGCCAGAGCTGTTATACAGAGAAACCCTGTCTCCATAACCCCGATTCCCCAAAAGAAAAAAGAATTTTCCATGTGATGCTGAGTACAAATAAAGTAATAGATATTCTTATTTTTTGTTCCCCATCTTAGACTGTGTTTCTTATAATTTAAAAATTTATCTTAGGCCATGTCTATTGGCTCCAGGAATATAATCCCACATACTGTGGAGTCTAAGGCAGTAAGATCACAAAGTTAAGGCCAGTCTAGGCTTATAAGTGCAAATTCAAGGCCATTTTGAAAAAGTTGGCGAGACCCGATCTCAAGTAAAAAGCAAACAAGGGGAGAAAAAACTGGAAAAAGAGAGCTTGGAGTTTAGTTCAGAGATAGAGTGTTTGTCTATTATCCCCGAAGCCTTGGGGATGACAAAACAAAGAAAAAAGAATAGCACAAATTGCACAGACTTTTCATAGTTGTTTTGTTTTTGTTAGGATAAACAAATTTCTATAATTTAATTTGCTGAGGTTTTTTTTTTTTAACCTAAAACAGTATGTTTTGTGATGCTGAGGATCAAGCTGAGGAAAGTTCTTGTGTAAGCTAGGAAACAGTCAGTCACTGAGACATTCCTTCAGCCTTTGCTGAGAATTTTTATGATGAATGCATGCTAGATTTTCTCAAATGCTTTGTATGCTCTGAGACTTTCATACAGTCATGTCCCCTAAATTTCAGTTACTAGTGTGTGTGTTACATGCATGTGAGTGTGCAAGTATGTAGCACATGTAGGATCCAGAACAGGCCATCAGGGCTTTACTTCATTGACTCATGACAGTCTCTCATGGAACTGGACACATGCTGTCTCAGCTAGCAAGCTCTTGGGAACTGCCTGTTTCTGCTTCCAGGTTCTGGGGGTACAGGCAATGGCAGCCATTTCTGCCTTATGTGCTTGCTGGGAATTCAAATTCAGGGCCTTGTGCTTACAGAGCGAGCACTCTTACCCACTGAGTCCCCGTATGTTCTTCCCCAGTCCCCATAGATTCACCTTAGGAAGTTAAGCTAACCTTATATTCTAAGGGTGGAGGATTCCTTAGTCAGAGAACATTACCTTCTTAGGGATTTTATGCTTGCTTATATTTCCTACAATTTTTGTAACTTGCAGTAATTTTGTATTTGAAACAGGAAAACGAGTTGAAAACCTCTTTACTTCTAAAGAGTTTTTGTTGACTTGATACTTTTTGACCTTTAATAGAATTTATCAGTAATGCCTTATATTTAGGTAAGGTTTAAAGTTGTATTAAGATTTTTTTTATAAAAAATATGCATGTGTGTGTGTGTCTGTGTGTTCATGCATATATGTATGTATATATAGGCTCAGATTATGTGAGAGACTTTTTCTGGGGGAGATTAAATGTTCATCTCAGAAAGCAAAACTACAACAGACCAAAGTTAACAGTTGCACTGGAGTGCAATTTGGTGAACCAATGAATTTTTATTGAGGCTACTAACAAGAGTATGGGTGAGGGATTGCTTTCAGAAGCAGAATGACTCAAAAGCAGCCTCATCACCAAAAAACCCACCCCAACACAGATGACGATTATACAGTTTCTCTGAAGCTTTCTGCATAGCTCCCAGGCAGTTCAGCAGGTAACCTCTTGGTGACATAGTGGTCATTGTCTCCTCCCACTGTTGCCATATTATCATTATTGGCAAAAATTGGATCTATTATTTTACTCTATACCAAAAGCAGTTTCAAAATATATAGTAGGTTTAAATATAAGGACCAAAACTATAAAATCTATTGTTATAAAAATAGAAAATCTGTGCTTTCAAGGCCTAGTTAGAAATTATTTGAATTGGACATAAGCCAGTAGGAATAGGAAGAGAAAAATTGGAAATGAATTGGACTTCATGAAAATACAAAGCGCGCATGCACACGCAGACATAGAGTTCATGAATGATTTACAGTAGTAACATTTGAAGTTCAAGAGCATTAGTCAGTAAGATACTGTTAACCCACAGTAAGTTTGTGTGTCATAGTTATTGTCTTGACTGACAATACTAAATTTCTAAGTAACTGGCGATCTCATATTGCTAGTAGGGATCTGAAATGGCACAACCTCTTCACAACACACTTTAAAAGTGTCTTATGAAGCTGAGTGTGCACTGCCATATGATGTTGTGAGGGACTCCGAAATATTTACTCAAGATGAATGAAAATGAGTGGTCGCACCAAGACTCAGGCTCTTCTATTTTCCACAGTAGCTGCACACTGGAGCCTACATAGGCGAATAGGTGGATCTGTTGTGGTTGTCTTCATGAAAAGCAATGAACTCTTGATGCATGGAGCTGTGTGGGTGAATCATCAAAGCATACTGAGGGATTCAGATATGAATCTTTACTGTATAATTCCTACTGTATGAAGCAAATCTAATCTACAATGACAGAGCAGTTAAGTGGGATCCTGAGGCTACAGGTTGGAGGTGGAAAGGGAAATTAATAGCAGAGCTATTTAGAGTCTTGATTGTGGTGATAGTTATGCAGATGTGGTGTCAAGGGTATATTTTATTACAGTGAGCAAAGCTTTTCTCTCTAGTATTTACAAAACCCGACTCTACTTCAGTATCGTCTACTAAGCTTTTCAAATGCACATACATCTGCTCTACCATATCCAACTCGTCAGTTATCAGCAAGAGGCCAGCTTCTCAGAGCTTTTTAAAACCTTCCAAAATGCTTTCAATTCTCATCTGGAGTTTGTAAAAAATGTTTTCTTTATGTTACTTTTTCTTTTTAAGACTCTTGGACCCTGAACTCTCCTGTAACTTGCAGTGTAGGAGAATGATGGATACTGAGTAGCAGTGTAAGCATTAAGTGCCTGTGGAAACACAAGGTGGAAAGTCAAAGGTCTCCTGACTTTCATCTTACTGCAGCTCAGTACTCTGGAATGTTTGTTCTTGTGAATGCATTGAGTATTGTTTAGAATAATACATAGTAAGATGGCTCATTTGAGAAACATAGCTGGCATGTTGCATTTTCTTAAAAGTTTTTTCTTCTTTGTTAACCTCTTTGTATCATTTTAAAAATAAAGGAATCTTAATTTCCAGTGACAAATATTGAAATATTTGTATGTCTTCCAGAGTCTTAGTCTCTTACTGTCAGCCATTGAAATGCTGCATATTTTGTTACAAAACCCCTTAAAATGACAGTTGTTATAGTAGCGTTTAGGGAACAAATAATAGTGGAGAAGTTAATGTTGGTATGTGTCTCACATGGTTGTTTACTAAGTGGTTTCAATACTAATTCTGTTTATTTTTAATAGAGAATATGTGGGATGGAAATTTGTGCTCATATGTGTTTAGGAAATTCAGAGTTAAAGAATACTAAGTACTTTCAACTCCAGGGTTTCTCAGAACCTGTAGCCTGTTCTGTTCTGACTCTTTAAGATGGAGCTGTGGGATACAGAGATACTCAGTTTGATCATTGAAGCTCTTTTCCATTGGTCTCTAGTTCCATGAATAGGTATCTAAGCAGGTAAATACATTTTCAGTAGCAATGAAGATATCATATGGCATATTTTAAATATGATAATTTGTAAAAAAGAGTTTATGTATACTTTTTTATTTATAGGTAGTAAATTTTACATTTCTGTTATAAACGTTGAAATAATTATTCTCCATTTTTGCTGATAAGTGAAAGTGAACTTTCATGTTTCCCTTCTGTTTCAGAGCAGAGTAGAAGAGATGATTTAGAGGCTTTAGGCCATATGTTCATGTACTTCCTGAGAGGCAGCCTTCCTTGGCAAGGCTTAAAGGTAAATTTTGGTAATTTCTTTATTGGAGTTCATAAAATCTTAATGTATATTAAGGCCTTCTGTTACAACTAAATAGTTGTTAAAACACCACATCCTTGCACTGCTCTTTTCTGCTTCAGGCTGACACGTTAAAAGAGAGGTATCAGAAAATTGGAGACACAAAACGAGCCACGCCGATAGAAGTATTATGTGAAAACTTTCCAGGTAATGGACAATGGTAAATTTCAAAAATTGAAACAGTACTTATGCACAGAACAAAGGCTAATTTTCACTGCTTGCGTTTATACTTTTTTGTACACTTTGAAAAACATGAGTACTTTAAAAGTGTTATTTAAAAGTTGCTAACAATTACTGCATAGATCACAGAGTTTGTCTAGTTGCGCCACAAGATGGCATTATATGAAGACAATTCCGTCTTTTAATTATGTTAAGATAAGCTAAAGGTCATGTTTTCTTCAGTGATCCATTTTTAATAAGTTGAAATACATACCAAAAAAATATAAGTGATGTCATTTAGTGCACTGTTAGTTATTTGAATCTCGATGTCAAAGATGTTAAAATATTACTTAATTTTATAAAAATTCCTTAATCCTAAATTGAGAATTGTTAATTTAGGAATTTATGTTTGAGATAGAAGCTTGCTGAGTTACCCAGGCCTGTCTGCGGCCTTGTTCTGCTCCCAGGGCTGGCTTGGGACTTTCTGTCTTCCTGCTTCAGCCTCCTGTTGGTAATTATCAAATATCTGATGTGGTTTGCACGGTAACATGAAATATAAATATTGACTTTGTTCAAGATGGAGGTCTTATATCACTTTGTATTTGCTGGCTTTTCTGTGTAACGGTATCAATAATAAAACCAGTGCTCTGAAAGAGCATATATTTCCTTATTCGTTGTCAGTGGGAGCAGAGGGGCCAGGAAATCTCCACGTCTAAGGTTTTAGTATTGGTAGCCTACCATATAATGCTGGAATACTCTTTTTAACTGGTTAACAACTTTATTCATTAGATTTTTGGTTTTCCTTGTGAAACTATAAACTTGTGGACATGTATCTATTACCCAAGTAACTGATTAGAAGTTAAAAGAAATCTCTTGTGTTCCTATGTCAGTTTTTTTTTTTTTGAGAAGATTTCACACATTTTGCCAGCTTGATTGGTTAAAATCCTACTCACGGTAAAGGTTAGAACTTTTGTCTCCTGTTATTAAGTTAGTATATGTTACTGCAGCTGAGAGAAACACAGCAAGCTAGTGCAGATGCTCTCATGTGAGCTAGTTCCAGCAGTGTTTTGAATAAATTTTAAAATATGCATGAAGTATGCCTTGTGATTAGACAGTTGTACCATTGAGCTGCTAATTCAACCTTTAGTACACCTCCAGATACCTATTAAAATAATATTAAGAAATGTTTTAATCTTTGGAAATAAATGTCACAAGCATAGTGAGTGGTTAAACTAAATGGCTCATGTCTTTTCCTCTTCGTTTCTCTCTTTTTTCCCCTCTTCTTAATTTTGCTGTAATTGAAAAATTTAAATTGAAATAGACTTTTGTTGCTTTTTTATTATTACAGAGATATATAGTCAGAATAACTTTGTTTCCTTTCTAGAAGAAATGGCAACGTACCTTCGTTATGTACGGAGGCTGGATTTTTTTGAAAAGCCAGACTATGATTACCTAAGAAAGCTTTTTACTGACTTGTTTGATCGCAAAGGATATATGTTTGATTATGAATACGACTGGATTGGTAAACAGTTGGTGGGTATTTTATGATGTTATAGTAAAAGATTATATTTATTAGTGTAAGATATTTCCACTGAAGATTGATAATAGTTTGTAAGGAGTTCCTTTTATTTCCAGTTTGGGAACATTTCTTCAGGGGTCACCATACTTGGAATTTTATTAAGCTCTGCTACTGGATTTTCTGTTTTTCATAAAAGGTTGATGAGTTATTTTGGACTTTCTATCTTAATTTGTTTAAGAAATATGACATTTCTATGTAGTATTCTTATGGTATCATCGTATTGCCTGTGTCTCTGTGGTAACTTATGTTCTGCTTTGATCGAAATTAAGAATTAAGAATTAAGCTTCTCTGAATCAAGATATTAAATACATAATTTTGTTGTTTAAAAACTATTTTTAAAATTCTGTAATTTTAATTTATATATTAGTGTCGTATGTGAGATTCATAACTCATTTTTATTATTAATGTGAGAAAGTAACTTAAAAATAATATGACCATTAGAAGACCCTTATACACCTAGAAGTAAATACATTGAAAAATGTTTAAATGTCTTAAAAATACTTTAGAAGGTTGCTGTGTTCTTCTTGCTTTACTCTGGAAACCTTTATCAATGTGCTTGAGACCAGTGTTCTTGAAGTCTTAGTTCACTTAGCGATATCATTTGTTGATTCATTGATTCCTTCAAGCAGCTAATGCAGCTATAGCTGGGAATTCTGAAGCAGGCCATTTTAGCACTGATTATTGTTCTTTTGTAGCCTACCCCAGTGGGAGCAGTTCAGCAAGACCCCGCTCTGTCATCGAATCGAGAAGCACACCAACACAGAGATAAGATGCAGCCGTCTAAAAACCAGGTTTGCTGCCCTTTGGATATGAAATCTCTACTTTCATTATTGTTCTTCAGCGGGTCACACGTTATACATATAAGTTCCTAATTCATGGTACAAACCCAAGCAATATTTGGTACTATTAAAATGGAAGTGTTAGAATTATAGCAACTTTTGCTCTTTTTCTCTATAGTTAATTCAGTAAGTTCTTTAATGAATTTCTGCTATATAAAGTGGTTTTTTTTATTAATGTGTTTAGAAATAGAGAAGCAGAGAAGACAGTCTGTACTAAGTGACTAAGTGGTGTTTGGTTAACAGCTCACTTGTCCCTGGAAGCAAGACAAACATGAATGTGTTTTCACTCTGTATAAATTAATTTCCTAAGGCCTATTTTCTCACATATAAACTAGTAATAATACATACTAACTTCAAGAATATAATTTTAATTAGAATTTAATTAGAAAATGAATTTACTCTCAGTAAATCTGAACTTAAGAATGATATTGCTCTTATAATTTTTGTACAGATAACTACATTTTGAAGTAGAATAAGCTGTACATTCTTGGAATATACCACTTAGAAGATATGCTATATACATTTGCATATCTAATATGGAAATGGTTGTTTCTCATGATGAGCCTGCAGGGTAAATGGACTTCTTTTAGGCAAATAATGGAATAAAGGCATTTTAAGAGTAGTGAGCAGGAGACAGGGAAAAGAGAGAGAGGAAAGAGAAAGGGTGGGGAGAGAGATGAAAGACAAAAAGCTAGAAGCTAAAACTCGTAGATTATTTGTTTGAGAAATATCAGTCAGTCTAGTTTGCTTGGAACAGAGCCTAAATTGGAGACAAGGAATGTAAGATAGTGATTGAGATAAGAGATGAGATTGAGCATGAAGAGTCATGTTTCCTGTGGAAGGGCATGGATAGCTGTTGAAAATTTCAGCAATATTTTTGTGGCTCTTTTTGCAAGAGGATTTTCTTTCTGCTTATTTTACTATTTCCTTGAATCACAGAGTACCTAGAAATTCTTGGTTATTGCCCTGTGTAGATTCTATCTTGCCACTTTTTATTTTCACTTCTTTTACCCCATTAAAGTTCAAGTGATGTTTAAAACGAGATGAAAACTAAAGGACAGAGCATCATTCGTTCAAAGTATGTAGTTAAACAAAATGCTTTCTTTAGGATGTATATGTCAATATGAATGGCATAGCTAATTTAGAAAGATTTGGTATTTAGTGTTTGACACAGAAAAATGAAAGGTCTCATTAATTAGTTCAACTCTAACATAATTAGTTGATAACTTGAATGATCTGGCAAAATAACTATATAAGTATAGGGCTCAGAAGTTGAGATCTGGTTTGTTTTCTAAACTAGAATAAATTTCTTGGATGTTCCTGGAACATCAGTGATTGGTATTCTCTAACTTACTTACAAGTTGCTGTAGTAAGACATTGTAGTAAGGGAAGCCTTCAGTGTTGAATTGCTTCTAACTTTCTACATATTACAAAGAGATGGCCATTTTGATGTAAACTCTCTGACAGTAGGGTCTGTATTTTCTTTGTAGTTCTTTTTGCACTAAATGCAGGGAAGATTTTTTCTATGTGTGTGTAATGCTTCAGTAAATCCTTAAGGATAGGGCTGTGTATAGTCTTCTTGTTAAAGAAAAGCTATTTGTATATAAAAAGTTCTTAAATATCAATGCATCAGTGAACAGTTGTTCTTTTCTTACCACAAGACTCCATGGTTCCCAGTTCAACAGAGGAGAAACATGAGTTCCTTTAAGAGACAGAGTACTGTAATGGTGCAGACAGAGCAGTAGTGGTTGCAGTTCAGGGAAGCTACAGTTAACATACAAAGTGTGAAACGGTACGTGGTAGTGTTTATAAAGAAAAGAGTGCACCTAGTTCTTAATATTTCCTTACTGAGGTCTGTCACCAGGTGCCAGTTACACAGCTATCTCTCAATTTTAGCATCTTTTTCATTTTTAGATTTGATTTCCTGTAATTTATTTCAGTGTCAGCTACAAATTCACAAATTCTGGCTATGGAGTTAGAGCGAGATGAAAAGATGGAATTCTGACAGTGGTTTTGATGGCAAACTTTATACCAGGGCCTCTGTAATTTTGCACAATACAGTTTAATTTAGGAAGCTTACTCTCAGATGTTTTTTTCCCATATCCCTTTGCTTATATTTAACATCTGTTCCAGAAAAGGTTGCTCTGGCCTCCAGTAATCATGGGCTCCCTCTAGCCCAGCATACTTGGCACTTATTGGCAGTATTTTGTGGTATTTGGTTGAAAAAGAAAGAAGAACACCAGAGACTCTAGGACATTTGTAGTTAGTGTCAGGAAATTGGTAGCATTGTTGAAGCTGGTCCTGGTTGGAATCCATACTGTGTTCTTCGCTAAGTCAACTATCCTTAGGATAGTTGAATGTCAGTGTCTTTATCCGTGAAATGAATGTTTTTTTCTAAAGTCACTAATTCAGAAGCAAATGATAAGAACTCTCTCTTCTGTTAGTACTGTTTGCCTGTTCCTGAAATCAAGAAACTGAGTTCAATTAAGAAGGCATTCTAATTTCTACTCGTTGGATGTTAGTAGCCTGTACTTATTCCCAGACACATCTACCAAGGGGTCTAAGAAAACCCTCAGGTTTCAGTCTGTTTCATAAAAGAAGACTCTTTAATTAGAACCAAATTCTTCATAAATTAAAACAGCAAAGAGATTGATAATTGTGAGATTATCAGTTTTTTAAAGTGTTTGTTTTGTTATATTCTCATCGTATTATGGTAGGGCTTTTCACTTTTCAAAGACCTCTTCTGTTTTCTCCTATTATACTTGCAGTAGAAACAGAATACAATGAAAGAGAGAAGCATTTCCTAGGATCTCAGCTTTTTGAGGATTATTTTTTTCACATTGCTAAAAATAGCTCCTCATGGCAGAACCACTGAGGATTCTTTTTGAAAGCACAGTGACATTTTTCAGTGCACACACAGTTTTATTCCCGGGTTCTTGGTTAATTGATTTGTGAACTTCAAGGAACATGTGACTTTTTCCCAAATTCTTCTGTTTCTAAAATTTTATGGTTCTAACTTACTTTTAGTGCTGATCATTACTGAATTTAACAGTAAAAAATTTATCCTTCATCTTCAGAGATAAATAGCTGTATGTATGATTTAGAATAGTAAGGGTATTTTAAACTTCCTTTTATACATTTGTTTTGTATATTATAAGGATGAGATGTTTAACATATTGGGTTTTTCTTCTTCCATGCATGCCACATGCATTAAATAAATGGCAGTCGGCAGACCACAGGGCAGCTTGGGACTCCCAGCAGGCAAATCCCCACCATTTGAGAGCTCACCTTGCAGCAGACAGACATGGTGGCTCGGTACAGGTATTTTCTGATTTTTGCATGAGTGATTATTCCCCAGATTTATACAACTAACCTTTTTTTGAACTCATGGCATGATACTCTATTCTTATGAAAGCTTGTTGCCGAATCCTATCCATAATCCTATTCCTTTGTTACTTAACCAAAGCCAAAGTTAACATGGTCTAGGAAGACCACCAGGAATGCTACAGTTTGCCTTGATTCATTTTTGCAAGTACACATAACAGTATTTAAGTCATGCATCAAGTTAGAAAAAAATGAGCTGTACTAAGTATGAGTTGAGATTGTTTTTCAAATATTAAGCTAAATATCTTTATTGATGCTTTAAATAAAACATTTATAAAACTTTCCCCCCTTCCACTGACTTTGCTTTTGTCAAGTTTCACTCATAGTTATCTAAACCTTTTCATCTGTGCTACTTAGAAACATGGTCCAGTTTGCACTTAGAGTAAGTAGCTGCTGAGTGTCTACATTTATGATATTCAGTAAGCTGTGGTTTCTGCCATTGAAAGCAGGTCCTTACTTATGGTTTGCTTCCTCTTTCCATTACTTCCTCACTGGAACAGTCCAGCTACTGCTCTTCTCTGTCTGGCCTCTAAGTGTAATTATTTAGCTGTGACTGTAGAACCAGGGGAGACTGTAGCCTTGAAGGTCTGTTTAAAGCAATCTAAATGCTAGCTTACAGCAACTAATGAACATTATCTCAACCTGTTTCACTATGAAATTCTTATGTTTTGGTTTGTTCCTCTGCATATTTTTACTTGAACTATTTTCCATTATTATCAATTTTGCATTCTTTTTAATACATTATTAATTAGCTAAATCTATATTGCGTCATTTTTATTTAAATTCTAAAAATCAGTTCAAAATTAAGTCTCAGGAACTATCTTGTTTTCCTCATCATTGCATTTTAGAGATAAATTATGTAACCATCCATTTCAATATATAAAAAATATATAGATTTTTAGTAATATGTAGTAGAAATATTTGAATAGCTAGCTATATGAATTCTGGAGTGACAGATTCAAAGACAAGAGTGGCAGAATTCATATCATTGGAAAAGCTAAGTGAGCAAAGTATGTTTATTTGCATGAAATGTTTACATATATTATTACTTGCTTCTGAGTTCTCTTGTTTGTGTTATGCTGCATGTTTGCTAGTGCTCAGGGAGATCTGCAACAGCTAAGGTTCTAATAGAACTCTCTCCCTACCATTTATAGCACTCCTTTGAGTCTGTTTTCCTAGCCTGTTATTCCTCTTACTTGTTTCCCACATCAGCAGTTCATGCTCTGTTTTCCCTTAGAGCATTTGTATTTTTTCCTTCCTTTTCAAAGCTTTTCTGTCTTTTGAGGCTCTATCCAGCTTCATTCTAATATTCAGTATGTGATCAGTTTACCCAGTAGAATTCTAGTAATAGAATGAATACATAGATAAAAATAAAAAGTTATGCTCATGCTATTGATTTCATTTCTTTTCATTCTTTTGCATCCCCCCCCTTTAAGATTCTGACCAGTTTTCCCTCACTCCTCTGTCTTTTCGATCTTAAATTGACTTAATACAGTAAATGTTTTAAAAAGTTTAATGAGTAATCTACTAACTCCTCAAGTATGGTAATGCCAGAATCATATCCCATTACAAAATAAAGACTGGATTTATTATATTTACGTGCAAATTATGTCATGTGCATTCAGAATTACTTGAATTATTATGATTATGCATACTTAGACTAATGAAACTAGTCCCTCCCTCCCTCCCTCCCTCCCTCCCTCCCTCCCTCCCTCCCTCCCTCCCTCCCTCCCTCCTTTTTCTTTCTGAGTCTCACTGTGTAGAAACACTGGTAGCTTCAAACTCCCAGAGATGAAATGGGTGCTCTACCATGGCTGGCCTTGTTTAATTGACGTTAGTAGGTTCAACTCAAGATGAGATGGAGTGTGGATGTGGAATTTAGTCATTGTTCCCTGACAGCTAAGGGTTTTGGTTACATTTCATGCATTTATTAGTCATTTGTATTTTCTTATTTTTAAAAAGTGTGTTAAATTAATTTGCCAGTTTATTGATAGAATGATCTGAACTTTTGGTGTTTAATTTTTTAGGATATATATATATATTTTTTTTTCTAGATACTAACCTTCATTGAGATGCATAATTGACAAGCATTTTCTCCTATAGGCTGTCTTTCTACTCTGCCAATTTTCTTTTCTATACAGAAGTTTTGTAACTCTATCCAATCACAGCTGTCAGTTCTTAGATGTTTATATTTACATTAGGACTTTTAATCCATTTTAGTTGATTTTTGTGATGGTGGTTGATAGAGATCTAGTGGTTTTTTTTTTTTCCTGTATGCAAACAGCCAGTTTTCCAAGCATCATTTGTTGAAGAGGCTGTCTTTACTCCAGTGCCTGCTGTGGCTGTAACTATGTGGGCTTATTTCTAGAGTTTTTATTCTATTCCCATTGGTTTGTGTATCTGTTTTTGTGCCCGTACACTGCTGTTTTTAGTTTTAAATCTTTGTAGTATAATCTGACATCTGTACCCCCACCACTGCTTTTAATGCTTACAATTACTGTGACCATTTGAGGCCTCTGAGCTTCCAGATGCGCTTTAAAATTGTTTTCTAGTTCTGTTGAGAATGCCATGGAAATTTTGTGGGGCATTACATTGAACTTATAACCTTTTTGGCCATATAACTATATGATTATGGGAATTCTTTCCATTGTCTGTACTTAAATGTTTCTTTTCAAATTTTTAAAATTTTCTTTGTAGTCTTTCATCTTTTTGCTTAGTCTCTGACTGGGTATTTTCGCTTTGAAGCTCTTGTGAATGAATTTTTTCCTCTGATTTCTTTCTCAGCAAGTTTGTTATTGGTATAAAAGAGCTGCTGATTTTTGAGTGTGGATTATGTACCCTGCTGAATTACTGAAATTGTTTCATAGATGTAAGTGATTTCTATTAGAATCCTTGAGGTCTTTTGAAGAAGAACCCTATTGTCTGCAAATGGGTGTAATTTGACTTCTTCCTTTCCTGCCTGTGTGCCTTTTATTTCTTTCTATTCCTGTATTGATCTAGCTAAACTTTAAGCAATGTATTGAATAGGAGTAGAGTTACCAGATGTCTTTATCTCATGTGTGACTTTAGAGGAAATGTGTTCAGTCTTTCCACTTTAATAGAATGTTTGATATTTATAGTTTTTATGATATTGAGGCATCTTCTGTTTCTCACTTCTTTAGAGCTTTTATTATAAAGAGATATAGAACTGTGTTAAAGGCCTTTTCTACATCTAGTGAAATAGTCATGAGATTTATTTTCCCAAGTATATTTACATACATCATTACATTTATTTATATGTATATAGTAAATCTTCTGTGCATTCCCTGTAATGATGTAAATTTAATCATGGAGTATTCTTTTTAATGTTTTTCATTTCATTTTTGTTTTTCTCTTTTTGTTGTTTCCTTATCTGGTTTTGGTACCAGTAACATTTTCTTCAAATATTGATTATGGGACAGTTTCCCTTTCTCTTTTGTTTTAAAAAAGTATTTGTAAAACACCAATGTTCATTGTTCTGAGAGAATTCACGTCAGTGAGTCTCTCCATTCCTGGGCTTTTCTTTGTTAGGAGACTATCACTGCTCCTATCTTGTTGCTTATTTATGTTGTAGATGTTTCTATATAAATATAATTTACGCATTTCTTCTATATTTTCCATCATTTTTCAGAGCATCCCCTAAGGACCCTCTAGATTTCATTGTTATTTTATTGTCCACCTTTTCATCTCTGATTATATACTTTTGGTCTTCTGTCTCTTTGTTTTGGTTAATTTGGCCAAAGGTTTGTCAATCTTATTTACATTTTCAAAGAAGCAACTCCTTTGTTTCATTGATACTTTGTATCAGCCTCCTAATCCCCTCTTTTCTTAATTTTTGACCTGATCCTTATTGCTTCTTGTCTCAGGTTCTGCTCCTACCCCTTGGAGGTTTAGTTTGTTTTCTTGAGCCTGTCTCAGAATTCTTTCATGTTGTTCTCATGCTTGCCTAGTTTTTTTGTTTGTTTGTTTGTTTGTTTATGTTTAAATGTAGGGTTTCCTAACCTTTCTCCAAGCTCTGATAACCCTTGTTGTGTTTCACCTGGTCTATGGTGACGTTTTCCACCATTAAATTAAATGGATTTCTTGTCTCCAGAGTACCCACCACCCGCCGCCACAAACTGTTTCTGTTGCTGAATTTAGTATCTATGGCTTGATTTTTTCGTTGTGGACTTGATCTTCTTGGAGTCATTTGTTGCTTTAAGAAGTAGATTTTGGATTCTTTACCTGGCTCTTCAGCTGTTTCAGTGGTTGATGGTCTTGGATATACTGTGCTGCCTTGTCTTTTCGTTTGTCTTGTGACTCCTGTGTCTGCTGCTTATCTCTTCTTTTGTATTTCAGGTTGTTCTTAAGTGAGCAGCTCCTCTGCTCAACCCAGTACCATTCAAAGAGTACAAAACACACCGATGTAACAGCAGCAATTAATTAAAAAACATGACATAGAAATGCACTTAAGATCAGTTACAGCCATTGATGCACTAACAACAGAAAATGGCAAGAATAATGTAATGTTCTGTAAGATTAAAGGAAGGAAATAGGGAAAGAAGAAAACAAAGGAGAAGCAGGGTTAAATAAAAGAGGAAAGGAAGAAAAGTAAAGAATATTATGAAGAAGAAAAAAACTAAAAAATGATTGCTTAATAATCAGAAAATGTATAAACTAGACAAATATAACAGCTATTATAAAAATAAAAACATGAAATCCTTTTTTAAAACGCAGAAAGTAAAATTAAGATGCTGCTAAAAGCACAACAAGAGGAAAATGGAGAAGTAAAGAGGGAGAAGATGAAGTAGCTTTCTTTGTGTGTCTCAAAGTTGGAGTGTTAGTTTAGCGGTGTAGCCATTTGTAAGTTACCCATACTCTTGCAAATAACCTGTAACTCGTGTTCCCATAGTACTCTAGTCCCCTCCCCCAGGCAAAAAAGACATGAATGTAGGATGACTAACTAGGAAGAGGAAGGAGATCCGGCAGAAGTGGGAGGGGGAACGAGAGTAGTGGGGTGAATATGATTAAGTATATACCTGTGTGAAAATGTCATGATGAAGCCTGCTTAATTAACATATGCTAATAAACATTCAAAAATACAAAGTAAAAGAATATAGCCGGAATTTTGTCCAGTCCATAAGAACAGAAGTTTCATCAGAGGACACAGCGTTAAACCCAGATACAATTTAGAAGGATAAAAAAGGAATTATATGGTTGTTGGGAGAGTAGAAGAAGTGCTAGAAATTGTGAGGATTATTGCGAAATAACCTGCTTGTAGAGGTGGTCATTCAATAAAACGTTATCTCATTTAAAAATAGCAGAATTGGTGTTTTCAGGCGGAGGCATGAAGTTAGGTAGGGATCTATTGAAACAGGAGAGTGTTTTTTTGTTTTTGTTTTGTTTTGTTTTTTTTGTCTTTTCTCTCCTGGCTGGTGCTGAGCCTGAACTGAACAAGTATGAGGTGTCTGACAAAACTTTCTTTTTAATAGCTTCTGTTGTTTGTAACAAGAGACTGTTAGCCGTCTTTAGTTATGCAATTTGTGAACCATACAGATTCTTTCCTCATCCCATCTGTTTTATACACCTGGGATGTCTAAATGTTCTAGCCAGAGATGTCTCCTTAGTGTGTTGGGGAGTTGGAGAACAAGCACAGCGTTCAGACCTGCACAGCCAGACCTGTTTCCTCCTGTTGATTTTTAACACATGGTCTCTATGTAACCCTGGCTGTCCTGGGCATGTTTATATTGACTAGGCTGTCCTTGAACCTACAGAGAATCAGCCTGCTACTGTCTGTGTTTGCTGGAATTAAAGGCCTGCACCACCACTCCTGGGAGTTTCTACACCCCTCCCCAGTATTACATTCTGCTGGAAGATGCAAATGTCAAGCAAACCACTTCAGAGTTCTCAGTCCTTATGACAGTGAAACTTGTGGCAGATATGTGGTTTCAGAGACTGGCTTATCAGCTGATGATTGGTTTGTGCTTCTTGGAATTCACAGTAATTCTTAGGTGAGAGGCCAAGCTCTTAGTGATTGAGGGTGGGGCCACTGGCTACCATAGCCTTTACTGCTCCAGCTGAGGCTGCTGCCTCTTTCTTTCTTTATGTCTGCCTTCTGTAATTATCTCTCACTTAAAGCTGTGTTGGGTTGGTTCAAGGCTCCCGGACTATGCTTGCTTATTGTTATCGGGCTTCCAGGGTAATTTAGTCTTAAACATAGGGCCCTCTTAAGCTGGCCACAGCACTTTGCATTTATAACTTGTTATGCCAGAGGAGTCCCTATCTAAACTCTGAAGTACTTTCAAGGCTTGTGTAAACTGTGTGCATGTTCTTTGGGCAAGGTTGCTAGTTTCTTTTTACCAAGGTCTTCTTACTTAACTTTAGATGGCACTTGTGTGTTCCTCCTCCCCTGGAGAGCTGTGCAGGGCCTTCTTTTTGCTACATCTGTATTTGCCATTGGTTCTAACACTTTGTGTTTCCAGTGTTCTCACTGTATCTCTTTGGAATGGAGTCTAAGTTTCATTATCTTGACCCTTCTTCATGGTGTCACAAAGAAGCAGCTTCATCCTGTCTTCTTGCCCTGGGATCTTGAAGATTACTTTGGTAAAGACATGATTAAAGGGAGAGAAGTATGAGTTAGAGATACAACTATGAAAAGTCTCCAGCTAAAACTGGGTGTGTTAGCTCATGCCTGCAATCCCAACACTGAGGAGGCCTGCCCCATCTTCAATGAAGGCTTGTAGTCTGGGTTACGGAGGTCTTTAAAAAACTAAAAATAGTCAGCCAAGCATGGTAGTGCACACCTTTAGTCCCAGTACTCAGGAGGTAGAGGCAGGCAAATCTCTGTGAGTTTGAGACCAACCAGGTCTACAGAGGGAGTTCCAGGACAGCAAGAGATACACAGAGAAACCCTGTTTTGAAAAAACAAAACAAGCAAACAAAACCAAAACCAAACGAACCCCCCAAAAATCTATAGCTGTGTTGCAGGAGTAATTAGTAGATATGAGGGAAATTAAATGATTTGAGATAGAACTAGAAAGTAGAGTTTGGTTGGATCTGGGGGCTAGGAAATTAGGAGCACAGTTGCCACCCCAGTATGATGTGTTTCTACCTGGCTACTCAGATCTCTAAAACTAGGTTTTAGAATGTACTGGTCTTAACAGATAGCAGTAACCTCGAGTTTCATTGTAGTACATTTTCATTTAGCTCATTACCTTTGAGAATGGATTCCACAATGGTGGTTGGCAACTGTATGTAAAGGGAAGAACAACCAGAAAGATACTGGTGTACTGAATGACCTTCTGATTGTTTGGGAAGTTTGAGCATTAGGAATCTTGTGATTTTTTTTCAGAAACCTAGGATAAGACAGGTATAGAATCACAAAGACATGTACAGTTAGGTACTATTAGGGAAATGGAAGAATAATATAAATTGTTGTAATAAGTAGTCTGATGTCTTTGCATGTATAGTATCAGAGTCAAATATAGATAATAGAGACACAAAAAAGGATGCAAACAAGTATCTTGCAGTGGTATCTAATGTACATGGTTCAATGGAGAAGAGGAATTTTCATTTTGAAGACAGATCTCAGTTGTGCTTACTGTGTATATGACCTTTCTAAAGACATTTCTAAAACTAGTCTTAGTCTTCTAAATCCAGTCATTAGCAATGCAGAGTTAATAATGAGGAACAAAATCGAGTGACTATTGTAATTCCATCTGCTCTCCATAGTTTTTTTGGGGTACTGATGCCTGAAAAAGAGCATTTATAGATTTCTATTATGTAATTAATTCCATCCTCATTAGTTTAGGAAGTTTCCTGGTGAGTCACATTGGTATGAATCAATGTGATTCATTTATTGTGATTTTCTGTTCTAATAACATTTTACATTAGCTTCTCCAAAGATTTGGATACTCAGAGAAGTTTGCTACAATTAATGTCTCTATTAATGAAAGTTAAATTGAGAATCTACCTTATCTTGGTTGAAAGACAATGAAAACCAGTTGTGGTGAATCATACCTATGGTCCACGAGAAAGCTGTTTCACTGTGGTGTCATCTTTTTAAATGACAGCTATCAATTATTCGCTAGTTATAGTTTTCAGAGTATGTAGTAATTTGTGTGTTAACTAGCGTGGGTTCAACAAACTCTGAAAAATATTCTTTTAACTGTATCTCACATATCAGCATGGTTTTTAATGAATATCTTAGAAAATGCTGGTATACATGTGTTTTAGTTTTTCTGATATATTTAATGGCTAGATGGCTATCTGATTCATTAGTATTGTAAACCTGTGCTATATGCTTGGTAACCATGCTTTTGAGAAATAAAAGAAACTGGAAAGGTAGTAGTATAAGTAGTTTTTTTTTTAATGAATTTGGTTATACTGGAAAATACTGCTTTTGAAAATCATTGCTCATGAGCTGGGCATAGTGTTGCCAGTATTTAGGAGGCAGAGACAGCCGGGACAATACCCGCTTCCCAACAAATCCTTGTTGACCAAGGTGCTGCTTTGTTTCAGGCCTGCTCTGTCTGGTCTGACTCTGAGAATGGCTTCTTTTGGAAGTTGCTTGTGGTCTCCTCCTGTCCTCTGAAACTTGGTAGTGAAAATAGAGTCAATTCCTTAATATACTAACTATGATATGGTTAGTTTTTCCCTTCAAAGTTGGACTATCACAGTAGAATGTCTTTAAGCAGTAAACTATAAGACACCTGCTTATGTTCCAAAATGCCAAACTTCAGATTATCTGACACTTTTATAAACTTTTCTAAAAAGAAATCAGAAAATATCAGAAATATCAGAAAAAACACTGATATTTCAGCCTTCTAGTTTAGTTATAATTCTAGAAATGTCAACCAAATAGACCCATTCTTTAGAATTGGATGGGTGGGACTTTAGTATGTAGGGTAAGGAATACAGCTTTTTATTCTAAGATGAATGAGAAGCCAAATGTTGGGACTTACCACAGTGGGATTTGTACCTTGAAAGGAGCACTCTGGTTACTTTGTGGATAATGTATCTTACTTGTGATGCAAGTCAGAACAGCAGACTAACTAACAGGCTTTTTTGCTCTTAGGAGAGATTATGTTGTTTTGGCACTGGGGTCCTAGCGGTAATAGAGGTGGTAAGAACTGATTAAATAGGATATGCATTTGGGGGAGTGTCTCAGTGGGCCTATTTATAGATCAGATGTGGCTTTACACAATGAGGTGAATGGATGATACTGGGTCTTTAAATTGGGCAGTGTGAATTGGAAGTCTCAGTGACTACAGATTACAGGAGGGAAAGTAGATCATATGTAATGTGTCGAAGGGGATGGGCACACCAAAGAACTGATGGAAACCTCAGTATAGGAAAGAAGCAGAAAATAAGTGTTAAGATGGAAAGGGAGTAAGTCAAAAGCACATCTTGGATGGCTTTGATCTACTAATTGTTTTGTGTTCCTCATATTAACTTTTTAATTAAATGCTATAATCTTTACTTATTATATGTGATTATGTATGTATGTTTGATATATATAAATAGTCTTTCTCTTTATAAAACAGGTTGTAAGTTCTACAAACGGAGAGTTAAACACAGATGACCCCACGGCAGGGCGATCAAATGCGCCCATCACAGCCCCTACAGAAGTAGAAGTAATGGATGAAACCAAGTACGTTTTTTTTTTAAACTTATTTCAGTATTTTTTTGCATGTTTGAACTTTATATTTACATACAATTATTCCACAATGTTTTCTGTAGGAAGTAGAGCACCCAAAAAGAAGTGATATAATAATCACTGCTTAAAGTACTACTACTTTAGAAAATGCTATCTTAATACAAAAATTGTTATTTAGGAACTGTGTTCAAATTTTCACTTGAAATTCATAGCACATCTTTAGCTTTTGATATTAGGAACATTGCATGAATATTATTGCTGTATTAATTATTACTATCTAAAAGTGTAAGTATTTGGCATTGTAGGATGCTTCATGTTTATTATTTAACATTAATTTTTAAGATATAAGTTACAGTAATGCTGCTTAGAAAAATTAAGCATGCGAAACAATGTGTTCATTTAATTATGGGCTATTTTTGATGATCTCTCTCTTTCTTCCTCTCTCCCTTTTCTTTTCTTTTTGTTTTTCTGTGTGTAGCTGCCAGAAAGTATTGAATATGTGGTGAGTTCTCAAGTGTAGGCAGGCAGAAATAGCTCCGTTGACTATAATTTCAAAGATTTAGCACCATTTAATATAAAAAATTCTTAACTTAGAAATTATAATTGGTAAACTGAAAATTAATTGATGACAATAACATTAGCTCTGCAAAACAAGAAATAATTATTGAGGAGCTGTTTTGCCTGCTGCAGCTTTTTTTTTTGCTTTAAGTTACATAGTTTTGGGGCACTTTTTAACTGCATAGATGATATGCCAACCTGCTTGTGCTTGCGCCTTTGTTTTGTAACCTGCAAGTTTTTTATTTGCTAAGTTTATGAGTTATACTTTATATTTCCTTGTTGTCAGTTTTTTAATACATACTATTTCCCATACAGTATCACTAAAATCATGCTTTGTTTACTAACCAGTACTTTAAAAATCCTCTAATAGTTCTAATAATAATCTTCCTGGGAGAAGTGGTACTGAATTTTAGTTACTTTTGGTATTTGCCTACATTTGCAATTCTGTGTTTAAGTGTTTCTCTTCAAGACAAATCTCTGAGCCTGCTTTGTAGTGAATAAAGCCTAGTTTTAAAGCCTATCAGTCATTTTACTCGCACCCTTAAAAACATTCATTTGCTAGTCGTGTTTTTTTTAAAGCAAGCAGTGATCCATTTCAATCAGTTTTTATTTAAGAATTTCTTGGTGGTACGGCTAAATTTAGTATATTTCAAGAGAACTATTGTTTGTTATTAAACTTAAAAATTCCCTTAATGGTTTGTGTTTATGAATTTTAGGTAAGGTGCTAAGGATAGTTATGACATAGGGTGGTTATGTGGTTCTTTTTTTTTTAGACTTGTTTCTTTTTTTGTAAAACGTGGCTAATACTATCCACCTCATAGGGAGTTGAGACAAACAGTAGAAGTGGTAAGGCTTCAATTATTTTGTCTGTCATGTACGGAGACTATGTAGCTATTATCACACCTATTTATTTCTTCATCACTAACTGCTGGTGACCTTCTCTTCACGGGGGTTTGCTGTCTGTGTTCACTTCGTTTTAGAGACTTCCTTTCAATCCAGTCTATTTATTCTCTGTATGTTCATTCAGTAGCTAAAATATTGAAATTTCAGTTGCATTAGTAGATATTAGTACATGGTAAAGCTTTGAATTTTGCAAAGAAAAGGACCACTTCCTGACCAAATACTCAGAGAATGCTTTGTAAGGTGGCTTTCAAGAAGGACTTAATATATGGTTCATTTAAATGTGATGCCTATGGGTATGTGTGCAAAATAGACTGATTTCTCTGTGGAGGCATTGGAGGACAAGAATGAAGAAAGCTGGGCTGGAGAGATGGCTCAGCCATTAAAGGCTAGGCTCACAACCACAAATATAAGAATGAAGAAAGCCATGGGACTTCTGTTCCTGAAGAGACTGTCCTCCACTCCTTGGAGGGTTGTGTTCAGATTTCTTTATATGACATCAAAGGCCTTCATAGCTTGCTTACTCTTGTCATTTCCTGGTTTTCTCCAAACCCAATTTTGAAGCTATATATTTTAGTATTATTTTGTTAATATGCCTATTGCTTGCTTGCTTTTTTATTTTTAAATTTAAATTAGAAACAAGGTTGCTTCACATGTCAATTCCAGGTCCCTCTCCCTTTCCCTTCCCTCCTCCCACGCCCTCCCACCAACCGCTCCAGTATCCCCTCACTTCCCCAGGGAGGATGAAGTCCTTCATCGGGGTGTCCATAGTCTGTCATTTCATTCATCCAGGGCAGGGCCTAGACCCTCCCCCGAGAGTCCAGGGTGAGAGTGCATCTCTCATTGTTGGATGGGAGTCCAAAGTCCATTTGTATACCCGGGATAAATACTGATCTACTACGCAAGGCTCAATAGATTACCTAGGCCTCCTCACTGACACCCACATTCAGGGGGTCTTGATCAGTCCCATGCTGGATTCCCAGCCATCAGTCTGGGATTCAAGAGCTAAACCTTGTCCGGTCAGCTGTTTCTGGGGGTTAAACCTGCCCAGTCTTAATCACTTTGCTCATCAGTCCTCCTTCTCTGTTACTGGCTTTCTTGAGTTCAGCTCAGTGCTTAGCCGTGGGAGTCTGCCTCTTCTTCCATCAGCCACTGAATGAAGGTTATGTTTCCCAGACTCTCTGGCCATGGGATTGTAGGCTGGCACTCCCCAGATCTATGTCTAAAATCCATATATGAGAGAGTACATGCCATATTTCTCTTTTTGTGACTGGATTACCTCACTCAGGATGGCTTCTTCTAGTGCCATCGATTTGCCAATTTCAGGATTCCACTGTTTTTTTCTGCTGACTAGTACACCATTGTGTAAATGTACTACATTTTCTCTATCTACTCTTCGGTTGAGGGACATCTAGGTTGCTTCCAAGTTCTGGCTATTACAAATAGTGCTGCTATGAACATAGTGGAACAGACATCCTTGTTGTATGAATGGGCATCTTTTGGATATATGCCTAAGAGTGGAGTTGCTGGGTCTTGTGGTGGGTTTATTCCCATTTTTCTGAGGAATCTCCATACTGATTTACAAAGTGGCTGTACAAGTTGGCACTCCCACCAGCAGTGGAGGAGAGTTCCTCTTTTACCACAACTCTCCAGCGTAAATTGTTTCGGTGTTTTTGATTTTAGCCATTCTGACAGGAGTAAGATGGTATCTCAGAGTTGTTTTGATTTGCATTTCCCGGATGGCTAAGGATGTTGAGCACTTTCTCAAGTGCCTCTCAGCCATTGTAGACTCCTCTATTGAGAATTCTCTATTTATTTCTGTAGCCCACTTTTTAATTGTATCCTTTGGTGTTTTGGAGACTTGCTTCTTGAATTCTTTGTAAATTTTGGAGATTAGCCCTCTGCCAGATGTGGGGTTAGTGAATATCTTTTCCCATTCTGTGGGCTGCCTTTTTGTCTTGCTGAGTGTGTCCTTTGCTTTACAGAAGGAAGTTTCTCAATTTCAGGAGGTCCCATTTATTAATTGTTGACCTCACTGTCTGTGCTACTGGTGTTATGTTCAGGAAGAGGTCACACTTTTACTATTTGCAGATGATATGATAGTTTACATAAATGACCCAAAGAACTCTACCAGGGAACTCTTGCAGCTGATTAACTCCTTCAGCAAAGTGGCAGGCTACAAGATTAACTCAAGAAAATCAGTAGCCCTACTATATATAGATGATAAAAGGACTGAGAAAGAAATCAGAGAAAGGTCACCCTTTACAATTGCCATAAACAACATAAAATGCCTTGGGGTAATGCTAACCAAGCAAGTAAAAGACCTGTATTGCAAGAACTTTGAGTCTTTAAAGAAAGAAATTAGAGTACAACCAGAAAATCGAAAGATCTTGCATGCTCTTGGATAGGTAGGATCAATGTAGTAAAAATGGCAATCCTGCCAAAAGCAATCTACAGACTCAATGCAATCCCCATTAAAATCCCAGCACAATTCTTCACAGACCTGGAAAGAACAATAATCAATTTTGTATGGAAAAACAAAAGACCCAGGATAGCCAAAATAACCTTACTCAACAAAGCAACATCTGGAGGCATCACCATCCCTGACCTCAAGCTCTATTATAGAGCTGTAGTCCTGAAAACAGTTTGGTATTAGCACAAAAATAGACAGGTAGACCAATGGAATCGAATTGAACACTCTGATATTAACCCACACATGTATGAACATCTGATTTTCGACAAAGAAATAAAAATATACAATGGAAAAAAAAGAAAGCATCTTTAACAAATGGTGCTGGCATAACTGGAGGCTGGCATGTAGAAGAATGCGGATAGATCCATGTCTATCGACATGCACAAAACTTAAGTCCAAATGGATCAAAGACCTCAACATCGAAGAGAAACTGGGTTGTACCCTTGAAGGAATTGGTACAGGAGACACCTATTGTTTTCTTTATACACCTCTCGCATCATGATGCCTTTCTCAATGTATTAAAAATACAGCTTCTTTTGTCTTTAGATTTGCAGTGGATAAGATCATAAACTAAAGCTATTTACCATACCTGTGAAATGCATTATTATATACAAAGAAGTGAGCTGGAAATTCTTCTAAATGAAAAAAAAAAACCAGAATAATGACATGTATTATATAGCTCCACTGTGAACCAGGCAGTGGTAAAGGAACAGAAAATAAAGTTGTCTTTGCGCAGAGAAGAAAATGGGATAGATAGCAGGGTTCCTTAAATGTAATGGTTCTCAGTCTTCTAATGCTTCAACACTTTAAACTAGTTCCACATGTTGTGACCCCAACCATAAAATTATTTTGTGTCTACTTTATAACTGTAATTTTGCGACTGTTATGCATTGCAATGTAAATACCTGATATGTAGGATATCTTGATATGTGATTCCCATGAGGTCATGATCCACAAGTTGAGAACCTCTGCTTTAAGGAATGAGGTGACTTTGAAGTTAGGTAGTCATGGTGTCTGTACAGTTTTGTGAATAGACTACTTGTCTCTGCATTGTACATTGTATGGGGACAAATTTTATGACCTTAATTATGTCTAGATAAAGTGGTGTTAAAAGATGGCAACCTGTGGGTTCAGGAAAACTTTATTCTAGTTGGGTTGCAAGAGTCCTTAGAATTACTTTGCTTTAAAACTCTTTAACCACATTTTTTCCTTTCTTTTACTCAGATTAATTCTTCACATTTCTATAAGGTCATTAACACAGTGTTCAAATCATCTGATACTCAGACTAAGGAATATGAGCATAACTTCTTTTCCTAGGTTGCATGCTTTCCCCCTTCTAATATTTCCTGGTTAAATTATTGCATATTTGGTGATTGGGTGGTTAGGAAGATATTTCAAATGATTCAAAGATTTTAGCAGACATGAAATACATCTTTTAGATAGTGTTTTCAGCTGTAAATATGTAAGGTTTTATGTATGCTTGCATGTGTACCTGTGTTTGTGTGGGGTGTTCATTCTAGTGCCTTATACTGTAAGGGAAGTGCTCTATCACCATGCTCTACCCACTTACTGTAACCAGTATAGGATAAAAAAATGGAGCTACAAAGGGATAAGAAAGATTGCGTGTTGTGCACTACAAATTGGAAGTCAATTCTTCCCCCACTTTCTCATCTTCCCCTTTTCTTCAAAGATAAAATTAAGAGGATCATGAAAATAGGGGGACCAAAGTTTGAAGAACACCATAGCCTCAAGATCTTAACCAATGAAGAACCAATGATGAAATTGATGAGCAAGAGGGCATGATTGTTCTTATGAGGACAAATTGTCAAATAGCGACTTTTAAGTGAACTCTGACTTCGGGAAGTAGAGGGTTGGGGCATGGCCTGCCTCTAATTCAGTCTGGTTGTGCTTTTGATCTTGCTTTAGTTTATGTGCTGAGATTAGAGATGTGGTTAGCTTAAAGGGAAAATTCTGCTGAAAAATTCCAAGCCATGGTATACTCAAGATGAAATTTCTGAGCTAAGCTAGCTTGAAAGAGGTGAGAAGGTCGCATCATTTTTGACAGAGACATTAATTGTGAATGGATAGAGAGAAAGACATAGGACACAGAACTATGGGTGTCTACTTAAGGAAGTTACATACATAATCTTGTTTCTGATCTGAACTGTTGCCTAGTTTAACAGTTCTTCCTTTTTAAAATGAAGAAAACCAGCACTTGGGAAACAGAGGCAGGTGGACCTTTGAGTTCCAGGCCAGCCTGACCTACAAAGCGAGTTGTAGGACTGCCAGAACTGTTACATAGAGAAACCCTATCTGGAAAAACAAACAAACAAATAATTAAAAAATCAAGAAATCCAAAGATAAGGAATTGCACTGTGGGTATTACTTTTAAGGTAAAATACTTCTTTGTCAAAAAGTAAGTACTAGTCATAAAAGATGTTTTTCTGTATGCTCACTAAGCCAGGGCTGGAGAGACTGGTTTCTGAAGCCCTGAGTAGGTAATACAGGCTGGATGCACAGTAATGGTCTCCACCAAAGGTGATACTGATAATTTGTTGTAGAAGGTTAAGGTAGGAACCTCAGACCCAGACAGGAAAATATGCTGCAGTTTCATTGCGAGAAATGTGTGTGATATAGGTCCAGGAAAACTGCAGAGTCTAGCTGAAGAGGGCAGTGAGTGAAATGGAATGGGAAGGGGCGCACTGTGGTTTTAGGATGAATTCTAATGGCACAGGCTGTTGATTGCCAGTTTGTCTACACTGCTGTTGGATTCAACTCGCCTCACTTGTTTCTCTGGTTTTGCTTTCAGTTCTGAAAGCTAAAGTCTTCCTTCCCACTTGTTAAATAACTTTTCGAATGTAAGTATTATTGGATACAGAAGCTGTGCCAGGTGTCTTACCTTGAGATCTAGACTCAGCATTTTAAGATCCTATCCCAAGTCAGTGTTCTTCAGAAAAGCCTCACAATGATGCCGAAATAGCATTTTTTTGTAGGCTCCAGTAGAGTTTGTGACCCATGGGTAAGAACTCTAGACTCAGAACATACCTGTAATTTTAACTACATCTTACTGTAGGGTTTGATTGTGTTAATGAGACAAATCCTTCAACACATACTAAATGAGTGCCAACTATTTGCTCATTTGATGGGCTGGTTCTGTGAACTTGCTATTACACAGCTTCCTTGTAGTGGGAAGGGAAGTAGTAAGTCAAACAAAATTATTTCAAAGTAACGGTAAATGCAGAAAATAAGACAGTGTTGTGAAAACAACCCTGCTTCAGATTGAGTGTTTGGAAGCAGGAAATAAGTGAGAGGATGATTTCTTAATCACCAAGTCTATGAGTCAGCTGGTTTTGAAACGACTTTTATCTTAAAAACCAGCAGGGGTTAAAATTCTAATTTACTCCTTTAATGACACTGCTTTGTGGGCAGATGCATTTGTAGAACACATGTCAATGCTGCCCTCTGGTGGTAATTGCTTTAATAGTAGGCCATCCCATTTAGTGGGATTTAGTCTAAAGTTTCTGGATAATACTTTAGTGTTGTTTTTGAACTTAAAGAACCTGTGCCATTAGAATTTTTCTTAAAATTATATTAAGTTTAAAATAAATGATTTGGCATACTTTAATAATACATTAGAGAGAAAGGTCATTTAACAAATGGAGAGAACTTTGCATTCATAACTAAAAGCAAAATAAGTGAGGCAGTGTGACTAGAGTCCCAGTGGGGAAAAACTGGCGATTAGCAGCCTGCTTATCAAAAACTTGTGCTGCCTTACATTTCCTGTTGTAAAAAGCTTATATAATTTAACATACCTGTTTAGTAGAAAGATTTCGAAGGAATGTACTTTGGAGCTTCAAATGACAAATAAAAATGTATAGAAACATTTAATATCAGAACAGGGACTTTCTATTAAACAGCACTGAATTTTCACTGAAATATCACTAGGTTCTTAATTTAATATTTTAAATATTTGGTCTGTTTCTTTTCTTTTAAATAACTCTCCCTCCCCCCTCGTTTTAGCTCTTACTCTGTGGCTGTTTCCTAGAAAATGAAAGGTGTATTTGAATAGTATTTTACCCCTTCCTCTTGAGACAGGGTCTCATATATTCCAGGCTTAGCTCAAACTCTTGTTATCAGAGGTTGACCTTGAATCCTGGCCTTTCTGTCTCTACCTCCTGTCCAATTTATGTAACAACCAAGATTGAATCCCGGGCTCTGCCACTGAGCAGTGTCCCTTTTGCATTTCTATCTTTGAAAATTATATATCTGAGATTTGAGAAAGTATTAGGTACATATAGCTGAAAGTAAACATAGCTGGTTTTTCTGATCCAGTATACTTAAAGTTTTTGTTTTATTGCGGTAGCTTTAATTTAGGACCATGAATATATCCCCCCCCCATCTCTGTCTCTGTCTCTCTCTCTCTTATTTCAGCCTTTTCTGAATAGTTACCCCAGTGAGGCAGAGTGTATATATACAAGTTTTTACCTAGGGAAAAGACAAGGATTGAATATATAGTTTTTAAATATATATATATATATATATATGCCAATATATTTAAAACAAGTTTTGGATATATAAGTTTTGAATTATAAAATGGATTCACTTTGGCTATGCTAGTTTAAATGTTGAATATTTCTGTTGATAAATATGGTAGGAAATTCCTATTAATTAATTTTTTGTTTGTTTGTTTTAGATTCTAAACTGATTTTTACTAAAATGAAATGGGGTCATTGTTGCCTCTGTAACAGTGGCTTCAGGAGTCAAAACTACCAGACAGAAAGGGAGAAACTATATGGATGACCTTTATAAAAGCATGACACACAGAGACCATTGAATAACTAACCTGAGTAAAATGTGGCAGGACCATGGAGAGTCAGAGCACTGTAGCTTTTCACTTCTTGAAGCAAAGTCTTGTGGACTTACTGGCTCCTTTTTATGTTGCACAGAATGTCCTGCTGTACCAAAGGCATGCTGATGGACACAGTCTTAATCACTGCTGTAGGGTCACTAATACAATGCTTCGCTGATGTGCTCAGTGTCTCTCCTGCACGAGCCTGGTGCTCTGATGACCATCTAAATTACGTGATAAATCCAGTCTCTGATAACTTGAGTGTTTTTATAGTAAAGAAATGCTTTCTTCATCTGCAGGTGCTGCTGTTTTTTCAAACGAAGAAAAAGGAAAACCATACAACGTCACAAATGACTGGATGCAGAGAGATCCTGGGGAGTTACTTACATGTTCATATGCTGTCTCGTGATTAAAATCATCTCTGTAGTGACCACATATATTTTCAAGGACTCACTCTTGAAACAGAAATGTCATACTTTCATATTTCATTTTGTGGTTGTCTTACATTCATTTCCCCTCCTAATTTAACTTTATGGAAGCTTTAAAATTTTGTCAAAATGTGAGTGCTTTGCCCATCATTGAATGGAATGGACCAGTGAAGTGGTATTGGTGAACACAGTTCCAGATGACATTTTTCAGAAGCTCTCTATTACAGAAAGCAATACAGGTGTCCAAGTGTCAATTAATTGCACATAATTTGATTTTATGTCTTCTATAAAAGCATAATCAAACAGGAATTTTCTTTCCAATGGATAGTGCAGCAGAGAAAACAGTTGCCCGAATATTAAAAACAACTTTCTTGAAAAGTTCCTATTTTGTAACATCTGCATTGATACCAGTATGAGTTATGGTACTGTTATTCATAAATCATATTGACATTCTCTCTGTGAAGTTAAGGTACAGTCTCTGCCCAGAGGTACTGAGGAGAAAGCACTATGGGATTGGCAGATGGTGGTGGTAAATAACTCAGAAGGAATGTGGGAAACAGGAGCTTGGCTTCTGCTGTGCCACCGTGTCAAAGGCGGCTGCAGCAGTGGCAGAAGCACTGATGATACTTGTGTAATGTCACTCTATGCTTCCAGAAGATAATGTTGCTAGAGAGTGAAAGACCAGTACTGGAGAAGTAATGCATGCTGGAGTGTGAAAGACACGCTAAGGAGAGAAAATACAGTGTGTAAGGCTAGAGCCCCTTGAAGCCTGCTTCCGGGTGGCCACATCTCCCAGAAGCAGAAATCTGAGCATGTCACATACAGTGATGGCTGTTTGTTGTGTAGTTCTTTGATTAAAGAAAAGAAACCTATTCCCAGCAATAAACACTGGGCCACTCTGTCGCCCTCTGTGCATTCAGCTCTTGTATTCAGCTCTGCTCGCTCTCTGAACTTGCCTGTCTTGAGCATAGTGTTGATGATGGGAGAATGTCTGGAGAGGCTGGGCCAGGTGCATTGCCTCCGTAGCGTTCACAGTGCCTGCAGATGAACAGTGAGCTGTTCTGTTATAGTGAGTCCATTCCACGTTTCAACTGTGCTTTGTTTTAAGCCTTACGGACACAGGCACACTTTTGTCACATTCTCTTAGCCAGATTCTCAAAAGTTAAAAAGACTGGCTAGAAAGATACTGTTGATCATGTCACACATTCATCTTTCACTTATGAGATGTTATTCTTTCCATGCAGTCTCTTCTCTGTCGTAAGTGTGAACCTTCAGGTATGCTTATTTATTTTTTTGTCTCAAGGTAACATTGAAAATATGTATTAAAGGAAATGAATCCACTTTTTTTACTTCATTATTGAATTTACAGGTATTTAATTGTATTTTGTAATTTATTTTTCTTATTAGCCAAAAGTTCAATGTGTTGCTTTTGATAAATTGGGCACCCATATGGACATCACAAATCAGGATATTGTTTATCATTGCTTCTTTTAATCCTATGAGCAGTCTTTTTTTTTTTCTTGATTTTGAAGACTTACACTCATCCTAGAAAGCATTTGCTGTGTAATTTGATCAGCAGTTTCCATTATATTTGTATACAGCCATGATGTCTAAACTGCAGGAGTTAAATACTGAGTTTTTGGTTTTATTTGCTTTGAGCAAGTTAGCTGGATGTTTTGGCAATTTATAATGTGAAACCACTTCTTTACAGTATTTGACCAAATTTGTGTGTCTATGATATTTGTAAATACATGCAATATCTGTATTTCTTATCATAAGCCTATTTAGTTTTATTCTCAGTAGGGTTTTTTGGACTGTACAGTGTTTATATGATCTGAACTCCTTATACATAAGAAGGTGTGTATATTAATCCAATTATGGACTTAAATATTTTAAAAGTATGAATACCCTTATTTGCTGCAAAGGCCAGTGTGTAGACATTTGCTTTTTAGCAATATTTTTAAGTGCTCCATTTTAGTGTCAAAGAACAAGTCTTTGGCACACAGACTGGTCAGTAATAGGTAATGCAGGTATGTTCAGGTTAAGCCAACAATGTTTTGCATTTTTATGCTTCTTTTCTGTCAACACTAATGAAGTCAACATTGCCTGAATGTCTGAATACTGAAACACAGCCCTGTTTAAAAGTATGTAACTGAAAAAGATAAATAAAGGTAGTTTTTTTAAACTCTCTTTCCCCCTTCCTCTAACCGTGAGTAAACCAATGCCATTCACTGCTGCACAGTAGTTTAATATTTGATTCTGTTGGTTTATTTCTCTAAGAGGCAGAAGGAACCTGTTTTTGTCATTTTGTTTCTGTTTTTATTCTTTGTTGGAGCACAGTTGTAAGGAACACAAGACAGGAAGGATCTAAGCTTGCTTTGTTCTCAGTTTTTAATGTATATTCTTTTCTGAGTTACTTAATAGATCAATTAGTTAAATCTGTCTTCTAATAACGTAAGGGAATAAACGATGATTTTACTCCATTTTTAAAAATGAAGTCATGCTATTAATGAAAGTTCACTGTTAATTTAAGTGAAGAAAGCCACTTCAGATGGGAGCATATATTTGTAACAGTAATTTGACTTCTCATTATGTTGGCCCTTTAAGCAGTTTTACCAAATGGTGTTAATGGGGTCTTTTTTACTGAAGGATGCTATAGGCAAGATAAGGCAAGTAAAACCATTTAGCCTGTGACTAGTGTGTGCAAGAGCACCAGAGACTTTACAAATCAGGAGAATGGGAGAATGTGGATCAGGGAGATGACTCAGCAGGTAAGAGTGCTTCCTGTACAAGCATAAGGGATTAAGTTCAAATCCTAGGAACCCCATTAAAAACCATCATGACTAAGCATGTACCTGTTACCCCAGCAAGGTGTCCTGCGGGGATTGGAGGATCACCGGGGCTTGCTGGCTGCCAGTCGAGCTCCAGGCTCAGTGAGAGACCCTGCCTGGAATGGATGTGCAAGTGGTAGATGGCATCACCTTCTGGGTTGTGTGTGTGTCTTAGTCAGGATTTCTGTTGATGTAATGAAACACCATGACCAAGCAACTTGGGGAGGAAAGGGTTTATTTGGCTTATACTTCCATAGCACTGTTCATCACTGAAGGAAGTCAGGACAGGAACTCAAACAGGGTAGGAACCAGGAAGCAGGATCTCCTGTAGAGGCCGTGGAGGAGTGCTGCTAATTGGTTGTTTCTCATAGTTTGCTTAGCCCACTTTCTTAGAACCAAAGATTACCAGCCCAGTGGTGCCTCTACCCACAATGGACTAGGCGCTCCTGTATCGGTTATTAGCTAAGAAAATGCCTTACAGCTGGATCTGATGTAGGCATTTTCTCAATTGAGGTTTCTTCTCAGATGAATGTAGTTTGTGTCAAGTTGGCATAAAACTACCCACACTCACGCATACATACAGCACACACAACACATACATACATAGAAGCAGAATGGTCTGAGGATGACACATAATCTTCAACAGGCTTTAATCTGGGAAAAGCAGTGTGATTTTAGAGTGGCTTCTTGTCTCCATGACAATACTTAGTAAAAATCTTTCACCTGCAAGTGATAGGTCAACCTGACTTAGGCAATAAAAATATTTACTTAATAGTAAAGCCCGGTAACACTGACTCCTGATAGCTGATCTTGGTGTTAAAGCAGGCACCTGCCCTTCTCTTGCATCATCTCTTGGCTCTGCTTTCATCGCACTGTTTTCCTTCCAGTATGAGGGTCAAGTGGCTGTTCAGCAGCTTGAGACATTAACACCATTTTACTCGGCAACCGAGTAAAAACAGCAGTTTCTTAGCAGGTAGGTCCAGCAACTTTCCAGGCCCACGGGGGCCAATACCTGAGAGCAAACAGCTGCTGTTCTGATGGTTGTGTCCATGCGCTTGAGAAGTGAAAGGACATAAAGGTATTTAACTGTGGTCAAATCTGATGCTCTAAAACAACAGCAAAAAATACTCCTCTGCGTTTAAGTGAATTGGTTTAAAATAGGTATGAATGGTTGCTCTTGATACATTGTGGATGTGTAAAGGAGAAATGCTGAGGATAGCTTAGATTAGGGTGTTTGCCAGCAAGGAAAAGAAAGGTAATTAGCAAGAATGTTTATTAGTTATAATACTGCTGGTGGAGATGAAATCGTAGAAATCATAGATAATTAGCTCTGTGTCTCGCTTGGGTTTATTAAAAGATGGTGACATATTTTGTTTAGACATGAGCATGTAAGGGGAGAGATGAGAAAGTGCCCAAGTTTGGTGTGGGATGTGGTAAGTTTGAGGGATGTTTATATAGTCAAGGAAACACACGTAAAGTACAGGATGTAAGGCAAACTCGGAAGAGATAATTTTGAAGGTTATCTGCTTAAGCATAGCTATTGAAGGCACGATAGTGATGAGATCACCTGATTTAGAAGAAAGTAAGCTAGACTAGGGTCTTCTATGAGACATTTACATCTTGGTAAGTAATGTAACATTTAACACTTCATGCATTCTCATTCTTTGTGTGACATCATTTTGGAGAGGACTCAAGAGGCTTACAATGTGTCTCTATTGTCAGATTTAGTTGAGATATTTGGAATTAGAGAACATTTACTAGTTTTTAAAAGGGAGTAATTAGAAAACTATTTTGGGAAGAGGTAATGATTGGCTGAACATAGAAAACGTATGCAGACTTGCTAATATCAAACCTACTATTTGGCCTTCTTCAATATCAAGCATTTGTTTTATTGTTGTTATGTTATGGTTTTTAGCTAAATGGTTATGGATGCCAATAGTTGTCAGAGACATCGTTTGAACTTGTAAGATTTATTTAACACTGTTGTGGGTTAAAATACTTCCTTGGGTTTTTTACAATTTTGTTACGAATTTTTACCTTTTACTATTTTGTTACAGACTTTGTAGTACCTGTATACCACTGGCACAACACATTTCCTAGCCCGTTTACCATATGTCTGTGACCTGTATTATTTCATTGAACGTGAAAAAGCTAATGGGTGAAACATGGAGTGAAAGACAAGGAAAGTCAGTAACTTCTGAGCTGTGAAATACAGATATCCACTCTCAATCCGAGAAAAACAAAATGTAGCATAAAGGTACAAACTTAGTTTTAAAACAGTGTTATCAGCTTTCACAATTTTATAAACACATCTTCAGATGTTGTTAACATAGTGCATGGTTGTATTTGAAAAATGTTTGACTTCAGGGAAAAAGCGAGTCTCAAGTCCCTTCTTAGCCGGTATGTTCCTGGTCGTATTTTCAGGACTGTGCGTATGGGTTACAGAGTTCAAAGCTTATTTTCCAGAGTACGAATGATCATGACTAAAGAACTTTGTTACTGTTGAAAATAGATGACGAGTTTGAATCTGCCCAGCTTTTACCAGAGCCATAAGTTAATAAATTAACTTCTTTATGAGGATATAGAGATCATAACTAAAAGAAAGGGCTATAAAATCATTATTAGGTCATATTACTGGGATATGAAAATACTTGTTTTTTTGAAGCCATGTTCTCAGTTTATCACCTAAGCCACCCGAATTCATGATCTTCTTGCCTCTGCTTCCTGAGTACTGGGATTGCAGGAGTATGTTGCCATTGCCAAGCATGAAATAGTTTGTTAGACCAGTTGTTAAGTTGTAGTTTTTGTTAATTGGAAATCATTCTACTTCTGTAGCCTAGGATTGGTAAACTTTTGTCGGGGGGGGATAAAGTTTAGGCCTTATAGGCCAAGAGGCAAATTTTGAGGCTTTTATATACTTATGCAACTAAAAATAAACTCTATTCATATTTTGCTGGTGAAATTCAAAGTATATTAATACTGGAATACAAGTTTGTTTGTAATATAGGCCTGCAAATGATAAGCATTTATTTATTGTTAAGGAGATGCTATTTCATTTAGCTGGAGTCTAAATTGATCATAAATATTTGTTTGTTGATGATCTTGAGTATTTCATTACTTGAAAGTGTTTTCACAAGTAGATACTATCAAAATACTCTTGTTAATCTTTGTGGTAATTTGGAAAAAGTTCTAGTAGATTTTCTCCATTTCCTTTTAAACATGTATTATTTTGAAGATGAATCACTTGCTAACACACCTGTCAGATGTGCTCCTCTTGATTATACTGTGATGTTGGTTTGGAATTATGGAATGTGCCTCTGTATTTATATTGGAAGTCAGACAGAACGTACAGATGATGATGATGATGATGATGATACTGGTTAAACATAAATGTGCCCACAAAATAACCTACTAAGTATAAAGTAGCTATCAACTCTAAACAGTGATATTCTCGAGCTTTGCAAATTTGTCCAGTAGCTTTCCTTGACACACATATTTCTGCATTATCCATTGCAACGCATTGATGTACTTCAGGCTGTACCAAATTGGTGTTTTCTCAGCTTCTTTTAAAATACTCCTGTAGCTCTGTTTAATGTATTCATTAAAATGGATCCCTGAGTCCCTTTGATCTCAATATCACGTTTTTAGGTAAAGAGCTGTGTAGTATTGTTAACACCTATTGATTTAAAAAAGACAAGGAAAACTATGCAAAACCAATTGCCTAGGTCTTGAATCAACGATGGGTGTGAATCTTCGCAACTCACTGCTGCAAAGCTTAGACACAAACAGGCAGGTTCCTTTTCTTTGACTGTTGCAGTCAAACGCAGTTAACTCCATCCCATTGTTAGTAAGTAGCTTTCTTTGTTTAACTAACATATAAGCCACTCAGGAAATTCTTTGTGTGTGTGTGTGTGTGTGTGTGTGTGTGTGTGTGTGTGTGTGTATACACGCTCACTCAAACACGCAGATAGACTTGCATGGGTGAATGAATACTGCTGTGATAAAATACTCTGCTCTAGTTTTCTAATTGTCCTAATTACTGCTTTCCTTAAAAATATTGTGATGAGTGCTTACTCTGGTAATATGGAAATACATTCTTTTAGTACAGCTAAAGCATCATTGCATAATGAACACAATGTTTTGCCATGTAATTGTATTATAGTCCACATTCCACTGTGCCTTAAAAGTACAGTACTTAAAGATTACTTTTTTCATGATTAAATATGCACTGGTAATAAAAAAATAAATGTCTGACAATATGTGTGGCACTTCAAGTACTTTGAATTATAGTCATTACTAAGATTTATAGTGTTTTGCACAGCAGTGAAAGCAATGAAAGTGCCACATATGGTCT